CCCACTTGACTTTCTGAAATCTTATTTATCACAAAGAAAGCAATCTGTAGTTATAAATGACAGCCAATCCTCCCTACTAACCATAACGTCAGGTGTACCTCAGGGCAGCATATTAGGCCCCTACTGTTTAATATTTATATAAACGACATAACAAGTGTCAGCAAATATGTGGACTTTATAAATTATGCAGATGACACTAGTATATTTTTTCATGATAATGATTTAGGTAAGCTTGCAGACTCAGCCAACAACAATCTTAACGACATCTTCATATGGAGTACGACAAATTATTTATTGATCAACACAAAAAAATCCAAAGCTGTGGTATTCGCACCGGTTCAGAAGGCTGTCTGTCGTGGTTTGGATATATATCCCGGGCCCGAAAAAATTGAGGTTGTTAAAGAAGTTTCATCATTAGGAGTAATTTTTAATGAAAATCCTAATTGAGACGAACACGTTAATAAAGTAACTAAAATATAGCTAGGACGTGTGGTGCTCTCTCTAAATTTCGACAGATACTTCCAGCAAACATTAAACTTTTACTCTATAATACGTTGTTTTCATCTCACATAAACTATTGTAGTCTAGTGTGGGCAGATACATCTAAAGCAAATCGGAACAAAATATTTTTACTGCAGAAAAAAGCAATTCTTCACACTGCAAACGTACCATACGACGCACATACAAGTCATTTATTCAGAGAATATAAGATTTTACCCATCGATCACATACACAGCTTCAACCTTATTATGAAATACAAACAAAGCTTGCTATCAAACAACGCTTGTTTTCTTAAACTGTTTAACCTCAGAAAAAATACACAATCCTATTATGACATTCGGAAAAGGCCTTCCTGGTTTATTCCTTATTCGCGAACTAATCACGGTTTGAGAAGACTTGAACACTGTATTCCAGCTTGTTTTAACGTGTTTGAAAATAAAAACATCGACATCTTTAATATACATAAAAAACAACTTAAGAACCTTCTCATCCAAAATGGCGGCGTGTAGTTTAGCTTCTTCTAGTTGTCCGGCTACAGTACTATATGTAAAAGAAACACCCTATAATAGTGCTCGTGTGTAACATGGCATCCTATGATGTTTGCTTTCTTTGACATTTTTTTTTCGCTGCTTTTTTTACGAGTGAAACATGCAACATTTCACTCGTCAGTGTTTCCCTTGTGCATTAAAACCTGTGCTTTTCGCATATCCAGTGTTGTAAACGTTGTATAATCATTTTGTAATACTTTGGTAGCCGTTTAGTAACGTGCGCATTGTTTCATGATTGACCGCACGATGTTTTCTTTTGTTTTTTGTTGTTTTTCTCTCTTTGTGGTTTGCTTATTTTATGTAAACCTGAAACTGATGTAATTTTGATGCATTTTCTTTTTATTTCCTTATTTCTTGAAGTTTTGAAACTCGACGTCAAATTGTTTTTTCATGTTTTGTGCTCTGCGGATTTTTGTAATGCCAAGTGAAAAGGGGTAGGAGCCTCGTCAAGCTGCTAACATAGCAGCTTTTTGCTCTTATCCTTGCGTTTTCTTTTTCGCAACTCTGTGAAGAAAATGCTCAATAAAACTGAAACTGAAACTGAAACTGAATACATACAATAAATACCATCGTGCCAGCAGGAATCTAACCCCACCGTTCTGCGTGCAATCAAATATTCTACCACAAATGCATGTCAAGTCTCAGAACTGCTTTTCAAGTAGACCGTAATGTTCGTCGAACGTAAACCGTGGTTGCAGTGCTGGCTATCCACTCTTATAAACCACACATACGTGCTCCTATCCTACAGCCGTCATGTCGGGTTAACGGCGATTTTATGTTGAAGTGCAATCCACGGAAGCTCATTTATCTAACAATGTCCAGGGCCGCACCCTCGCTGGCACAAGCGCTACATATCAGCTTACTGCTTATGGTGTTGCTAATATCCATGTTGGTGTTGATTCTGGTGTTGCTAACAACCACTGTTGGCATCGTTACACAACCGTAAACGTGCGATTGTTGTCGCATGTTTACGGTTGCGGTACATTGTCTATGCGTATAACATTTTAGCATATCTTTGGCGTCATCTCGTAACGTTTCGCCCAATAAATATGTTACAACACAGTCACCTTCCTTTTGCATGGTTCCAATATTATCGTTTCCCAAGGTACGTGGGATCTGCCAAATGTTTTGTTTATTTAATTGATACATTCGTCTCACCTTGAAACAAACTTTTCGCCCCGCCGCGGTGGTCTAGTGGCTAAGGTACTTGGCTGCTGACCCGCGGGTCGCGGGATCGAATCCCGGCTGCAGCGGCTGCGTTTTCAATGGAGTCGAAAATGTTGTAGGCCCGTGTGCTCAGATTTGGGTGCACGTTGAAGAACCCCAGGTGGTCGAAATTTCCGGAGCCCTCCACTACGGCGTCTCTCATAATCATATGGTGGTTTCAGCACTTTCAACCCCACATATCGATGAATTTAAATAAACTTTGAGTCGGAAATTTGAATACGTGTCCGTATTCAAATGTTTGCCGCTTAGTGATAGTCAAACATGGCGCACGAACTAGCATCGGAAATCGTCGACAGCCACTTTGGCAATCAACGCTTGATCCGAGACCGACGGCGGCCGCAAGCACGCGCGACTAATTGGACATCGATGGGGCCAAGGAGCCAGCCAGGATGCGTGTCGGCCGAGTGGGTGGCAATCGCGTTCCGGTCGGGAGCAGTTTAGGTGCAGTGGGACATCTCGATGGACACTACTCGGGCCGCGCGCTGCTTCATCTTTCACTGCGGTCTTGAGAGTCGGGAATGAATGGGAGCACGAGCGGTGCGCTACAGCATGGCGCAGCGTAGGAAGACATTGTGTTTCCCGCTTTTCGGTTTGTGCTAGAGAGAAAGAACAATGGCACAATTTACATCGAACCTAGATGATGTTTGTGTGCGTGGCTGCGACACCTTTTCCGTAACACATCTCTAATTACTTTTATTTATTTCTGTTTTTCTGCCCCTCCATGGTGGCCTAGTGGCTAAGGTGCTCGCTCGGCTGCTGACCCGCAGGTCGCGAGTTCGAATCCCGGCTGTGGCGGCTGGATTTTCGATGGAGGCGGAAATGTTGTAGGCCCGTGTGCTCAGATTTGGGCGCACGTTAAAGAACCCCAAGTGGTCAAAATTTCCGGAGCCCTCCACTCCGGCGTCTCTCATACTTATACGGTGATTTTGGGACGTTAAACCCCACATATCAATCAATCATTTTTGTCTTGATGAGTCTTGTGCTTGAAATGTCAAAATATAGTGAGTCACTTTTTGCACGTGCCTGGAAGGGACAATAGTTTTGAAAACTGACAGCAATAATTGCGCTTTTTTGCAGTCACATCTACTTTGATCACTGTATCGAGTAGTGCTATTACGTCTGAGGAGATTAAGAGTAAGGAACCTCCAGTAGCCGCTCCTAATTAGTCGGTGTGCAAACGAAGAATACAGTACTTCTTTGTACTTGCTGTTCATGTTTCGATACTTTGATTTTTCAGTTTACCTGTACTATCACTCTCGCTGTAAACTCTATGATTCTAATTCACCTTTTTCATAAACGCCTCCCTTGGTACCGCAATAGCCCTCCTTGGGCTGTGCGAATTGGCGCATCCCCTCGAAAATGCACTGACAACGCTGCGCCCTTAGCTTTTGTACTCCCGCGCACAGCCCATCATGGCGGTGTTTTTTTCCTTCCTGTGAAAAGGTGTATAGAGCCAGCAATTATGGTGCATTGTAGCTGACACCATGGTGCATATCTGTTGGCAGCGTTCATTTACCATTTGTTAATAAGAGCCGAATAAAAAGAAAAACCGAAAAATCACAAGACCGCTTATCCATTCACTTAATCTGTCTGCTCCGTTGTTAAATTGATCCTGCCCAAGCAACCTTTAAAAAGCTTTTTGCAGCTATTTGGCCATTGTAGAGCCTCCAAAACTGGAGGCACCTCGCCTGCTTTAGCGTTGCTTTCGTGATCAGATCACCTTTCACCAACCTACGATATCATCGCATGACGTCATCATTTGACATCATATTGCCAGCCCAAATGTTCATTTTTGTGACGTCATATGAGGACGTCTTCACGTGATGATTATATGTAGAATTCGTTTCTGGCGCCGCCGGATGCTGGCGGTGAAATTTCGCGTTTGATTTGACATCCAGGACAGTCGCCTTAAAAAACAAGCTCATTTATCAAATATTGGCTTCGTTGGCAAGGAAAAAATAACGCACAACTAGCGACACAAGACTCGTCGTCTTCAAGTAGTTGCAGAAGTTGTGAGTTTAGCATAACTATGGCACATTATGGCACTTAGAAGCGCAAAAAAACAATCACAAATGAACTAGACTGGACGTGTGCTCACTACAAACTGAAGTTTTTCAGACACCTGCTTCTAAGAATATACCATCACGAATACTAGCAAACTTTCCCGCTGTTCATGTATAGACATGCTCTGGAGAAGCCAGTCGACTTAACAAACAGCCGTGCTACACCGCGGTAGTCCAGTGGCTAAGGTACTCGGCTGCTGACCCGCAAGTTGCGAGATCGAATACCAGCTTGACGGCTACAGTTTCGATGGAAACGAAAATGGTGTAGGCCCGTGAGCTCAGATTTGGGTGCACGTCAAAAACCCCAGGTGGTCGAAATTTGTGGAGCCCTCCACTACGACGTCTCTGATAATCTTATGGTGGTTCTGAAGCGTTAAACCCCGCATATCAATCAATCGATCAATTAACAGACATCCGCGGAGTGTGTGGCCACCTCGTAGCATTTCTAGCGTGGGTAATTTGCGCACTGCGATGGTCGAGAGTAGCGTGGCGATAACATCACCAAAGATGAACAGGTCGCGTCGCGTCCTTGCCCGTTAGAAGGCGACTGCAGGTGAGCCACAGAGCGCGGGTAAGGAGGCGGCCGAAAACGGGATCGTTGGCGCACGCGTGGGGGCGCGTCGTTTTTCTTTCTTGTGTTCCGAGCACGTCGCGCCGCGCTGCCGGTGCCACGATTTCACTTTCGCGCCGGCCGTCGCCGGAGGAGCTGCAGCGCGCGTTCTCCGACCGAGCGACGTCGACGCTGCGTCTCGCACGGTGCCAACCCAAGGAAGTCTTCGGCTGCGTCGCTCCTCCTTCCGTGGGGCGCGTTGCGCGGAGCAGGTGTGTGCCTTTTTCGAGCACTTCGCAGACCGCCGTTGCCCACGCAGTCCCTCATTTTGTGGAATACCGTTAGTGGAACAAGGCGACACCTCAGTTTCGCTTTGTCGTTCAGAAGCAGGAAAGCTGTCGGAAACAACTGCTACGTTATCTAGCTCTCTCACATAAACGCGAATTTCATTTGTAGTGTTTCTTCTTTCGTCCATGAAAGTAATGGCCCGCAATTAACTCTCCCCCCCCCCCTGTTTTTTTATTGCGCTGATTCTCTGATTTCTATTTACTCGCGGCTACCTTCGAAGGCTGGAATTGGTGTTACATCGGATCGCGCGTTTGTTGTTCCGTGAACCTCAGGAGTACGGCCGGAGCGTGTTACGACCCTAGCGACACTTTCGAAGGATCTTGGATCCAATGCTGTCGTCGCTGCGAAAGGAGGAGGCGTGGAAGACGTTTCGTAAGTGTGCTTTTGCCGCTTTCCTCTCTCGGGGGCTTTCCGCCTTGTTTGTCTTTGCGATGTGGCTGGTCTCTCGTTTCGATGCGTTTCTGTGCCGGATCGAAAGATTTTTCGATCGTCAACAGTCCACTCTTTGAATCAGGTGGGGCCCATGCATTTTTACGGTACGTCGAATGAACATGCGTTGTGCTCTGACCCTGACTCATCGTGTGGGTCAGGGCTCATCGCGATCATTTTAGAATATGATAAAAATTATACATCACTTGTACATACATTCGCATAAGTTCTAACTTAACTAGAAAGTGCTAGTTTTGCCTCATGGCTCTTTGCACAGAAAGCGCTTGCACAACGTTGCAGTTGTGTTCGTCTAATACAATTTACTATCCGGTGTTGCATATGTGAAATCAATTTTGTTGTGGCTGTTCACAATGCCTACATGCTCATGTTGTTTAAAAAAATTATCCTGGAAATTATGATTGTTTCCCTGTCGGGACAACTACAAACAGTTGATAGCACGTATAAGTGAAAACAGATATAGTCAGTGGTGCACCCGAAATGACGCAAGGTATAGCTGGGAAAGAAGATGAATACAATGTGAATAAGTGTAACTAAACACTGATGACATAGCATATAAACTTGCAAGATATCTTTTTCACTCCGTACCTTCCGACTCTCCCGATCAGCCCGGGACGCTCCCGATGGGTGATGTGTCTTCCCGATTGCACAATCGTGGTGATAATTATCATAAACAACCTCAACTTCAACTCTGAAGAGAAAAGAAAGAAAAACTCATAAAAATGCAGAGTTTTCGTAGAGGAAACTTAGTAAAAGCTTATCAAAGACCAGCTTTACAACTTCCACTTTCAATGACGTATTGAATAGACCACTCTCCAGGTCTTATGACGTAGGTACTTTCGTGGAATATTTCGCAGAATATTTGGATCTTTTGTGAAATATTTGACTTTCGAACACATGCAAGCTGTCGGCAATTCGTACAAGTTGCGAGCTGCCACTGTGCTCAGAAATGCTCAGAATATAGCAAACCACTATACATAGCCTTTATAGATTACGCGAAGGTGTTTGATTCAGTAGAAATATCAGCAGTCATGCAGACGCTGCGGAATCAGGGTGTCGATGAAGTATATATAACCATCCTGTAAAAAATCTACAGGGGATCAACTGCTACCATAGTGCTTACTAAAGACAGCAACAGAGTGCCAATCAAGAAGGGTGTAAGGCAAGGGGATACAATTTCCCCAGTGCTATTTACTGCGTGCTTACAGGAGGTTTTCGGAGGCCTAGAATGGGAACAGTTAGGCGTAAGAGTTAATGGAGAGTACCTTAGTAACCTGCGCTTCGCCGATGACATTGCATAGCTGAGTAACTCAGGGGACGAATTTCAACTCATGATTACGGAGTTAGACAAAAAGAGCAGAAAAGTAGGTCTTAAAATGAATCTACGGAAAACGAAAGTAATGTACAACCTCGGAAGAGAACAGCGCTTCGAGATAGGTAATAGTGCACTTGAAGTTGTAAAAGACTATGTCTACTTAGGACAGGTAATAACCGTGGAGCAGAACCACGACCCTGAAGTAACTAGAAAAATAAGAATGGGGTGCAGCACATTTGGCAAGCACTTTCAAATCATGACAGGTAGATTGTCACTATCCCTCAAGAGGAAGGTATATAACAGCTGCATCTTGCCGGTACTTAGCTACGGAGTAGAAACCTGGAGACTTACAAAGAGGGTTCAGCTTAAATTTAGGACGACCCAGCGAGCAATGGAAAGAAAAATGGTAGGCGTAACCTTCAGAGACAAGAAGATATCGAGGTGAATTAGGGAACAAACCGGGGTTAAGGATATCATAGTTGAAATAAAGAAGAGGAAATGGACATGGGCCGGGCATGTAGCGCATATGCAGGATAACCGCTGGTCATTAAGGGTAACTAACTGGATTCCCAGAGAAGGCAAGTGGGTTAGGGGGAGACAGAAGATTAGGTGGGCAGAGGAGATTAAGAAGTTTGCGGGTATAAATTGGCAGCAGCAAGCACAGCAACGAGTTGACTGGCGGAACATGGGAGAGGCCTTTGTCCTGCAGTGGACGTAGTCTGGCTGATGATGATGATGACTGTCTGCCCTTACCAGACGCTGTGAGCATTGAGAAATTATCCATCCCATGGATTCACCAATACGGCAATAGAGAGGGCGTGGCTTCGAGCGATACGCGCCAGTCTATAAATGAAGGTAAAAAAGAAAGAAAAAAAGCATACTGCTAAAGAAATAAGTGCTTGTGGTTTATTGTTTTTCGTGTCTTTCGTGTTGTTTTGGAGCTACAGTATGAATTCAATAAAGAATAGTTACATATCCATTTGCTATTACTCTATACGCCGATTGTCGGGTCGGTATAGGGTCCTGGACATTTGTGCATACATATGAGTGAATGTCATTTATCAGATCTAATAATAATAGTAATATTAATAATAATTTTATGGAGAAAAAACATTGCACGAGTATGCCGCACAAAAGCGCATCCGTTACATCCAACACATAACTGCTACATATACCAAATGCTCACAGTCATGGCAGAAAAGAGAATGTTTATATAAATGACACCTGATTCGAATTAATCATTAATGCGTCTCTCATAGTTATACGGTGGTTTTGGGACGCTAAGCCGCACATATCAAATAAGTCATATATAAAGTTTTCGAATATAAATGCAAATGTTAAAAATAAGTGTTCAACAATGAGTCCAATTGAAGGAATTTCAATGCGTTCTAAATACATCCCTGAGATTGTGATTGATGTGATGAAATCTGGGTAGTCACTGGTCAATGTAAAACTGCTGTTTTATATATAGTTGAGCAAAGAACAACACTGTGGGTGACCTCCTTCGCAACGTTGTTCTTCGCACAGTGCCTGCGACAAATAGTCCTTCTCTTTTTGAAGCGTTCAATGATGGCCGAGTTGTGTAATTGTGCGCACGTCAGCTTTGAATTGGCTGCCTTGATGTATGAGAGAAACTGAAAATAATCATGCAGGAGCCAGAAACAGTACTGTTTTTCATGCCTGCAATGCTGTGCTCCGCGTATAGCGACAACGTAGCTATTTTCCTAACAATCTTTGACGGCATTTGCGGTTACGCAAACCGACTTGTTCGCGTTAGTATGGCCTCTTATAGGAGCACATACCCCGCTGTGCTGCGTCTACGCTTGGTATAGGCTTCACTTATAGACTTGAGGACCCTGAAGAACAGATGCGTTGCAGTCATTCCGAGGGCCTTGAAGACGCTTGAAGGTGCATTGAAAATGCTAATTGAAAATGCTTGTATGACGGCGCATTAAGGAGACATCATGGCAACTGTGTCTTGCATGTCACTGTTTAATCATGTGTGCCCGTCCAGAAAGACTTTGAAGACCCGTTCGCAGTTTCTCAAACCTCACTGGTGAGGAACGAAACATTACACATTTGCGTCGGTGATCATCGGCTTTTCTGGCATGCTCACTTCGGGAGCACTACTCTGCTTTAGACACGGGCGGGGAAACAAGCTCCGAAAACACTGCGACCCGCTATCAACAATGTTTATATGTTATTAGCTATGACATGAACTATATTACAAAGTTAGAGGCTAATTATGCTTACCGGAGAATTCATTAGGTTACGGTGTGTAACGTGCCGAAATATTGTAATGATAATAAGGCGTGTTGCTCTGAAGGCACTCCGCTTTCATTCTGATCACAATGGTTTCAGTCATGTACGCCTGAATGAAAGCGGATTTGCATTTCAACGCCCATCGAAATACTGCGGTCACCGAAATCGAACCCACGTCGTCGAGTTCAGCAGCGCAATGTCGTAGTTTCCGCGGCAGGTGGTTTTACAAGTTGTCCAGTGTGTGCAATATCTACCTTGTGCTGCATGTATATATCAAAGTGCGCTTTTCGAGTTTTTAGTTTGTAGTCAGGAATATAAAAAGCAGTGGTGAAAATTAGGTTCTTTTCTTGTTACTTGTACGTTTTCGTAAGGTGGGGATATGTTTTAGTCGCTTCGTCCTCATCAAAGTGCCATTGTAGCTGAAATTCACGTTTTGCGGTGGTTAATCTACCACTACAACACGCCTTATGTATGAATGCGACTGCGTCTGGTACATTGTGGACAGAGTAAAAAAAGGGGGGGGGGGGGGGGGGGGGGAGATGAAAAAAAGCCATTGTGATACACTTGTTTACTACAGTGGGAAAAGAAACATGAGAATATAGGTATGCAAGTATAAGACCCACAATCACAGGCCAGCAAAAGTCACTTGATGAGCACTGCTGAAGAGAGCCGCTTGCATAATTTCAGTTGTCGACCTCCAAAAGCTCTAGAATAAGGCCTCTGTTATCTACAAATAGTTATTCGTTGGAAATTCGAGAATATCTTGCTTTCATAATGAACTGCAATCAGAGCGAAGGAGCACCTGTGCGAGCTGTAAAATAACAAGCAAAAGCATTACCTCTAAGCATGCGTAATGAGATCCTCGCGACCAGTCTTCACACATGTTCGTTGAGGCAAACTATTTTGACACAACTAGTACAGCCATAGCAAACAAACCAAGGCGGTGTCGTGTCGGTCGAGATCAGTTGAGATCCGATGATTAAGCCAAGAGTCCGAAAGAAGAAGCCGGTTGCCTTGAAAATCCGTTGCCTCACAGAAGGCAAACGCAGCATCTGGTGCAAGAGTCCAGCTGCCGCGTGGATACAGAAAAAGTCGAAGAATGTTTTTTTTTTTTTTTTTAAGATTTCAGGATACATAACACTTCGTTTTGTGACAAAGCCGTTTAGTTTGCGCAGTGGTACTTGTTGGTCTTTGTAATAGGTAACATTACACAACCGAATTACACCGCTCGAAGTCTTTCCGTTTCAAGACAGATCGCCATTGAATAACGCTGTGCATCAGCTGGGAAACGCTATAGCCCTTTAAAATAGCGGTAAACTGCGAGTGCACTCGAGTAGTTTGGTAGGTC